ATTCCCGATATTTTCTGAACACACCTCGTAATTGCTGCACGATTTTTAAGTCCGGGGTAAATCTTAAAATCTTAATGACATTTTGTTTTTCGGTAAATGTCATACTTGTAAAGGGCTTACTAATAAGTTTTTCCAGTTTTACACTGTCACCGCAATGGCACTCCATAATAAAAATAACTAAAACTACTAACAAAATCTTTCTAACCAACAAAACTAACTTGAATTATTTTGTTTCTCCTGTTGGCATAGTGACATTTCACTGCTATTTTTTGATATTTCAACAAGGTTTGTTAAATCATGGTTTTATTTAGTTAATAAAATGTGTAAAATAACTATGTTCGAGTGCGTTAATAACCCGGACAATCTGGGTGACGTAAGTGATGAGCACGGAGAACGTTTTCACCAGCAAATGAAGGCTATGGATAACGCGGTATAACGGCTTCTGGGATGCAGCCATGATGGGTGATTACATTTGGTCCCTCATACGAGAAACGGAATAAGAAAGCAACAAAAAACAAAGTAGGAGAATTTTTTAAACCTATTCTTATTACAACAAAATAAAACTTTTAATTTCTTCAATGTTTAATATATAATTTAATTTCAATATTTAATGTTTAAAATAAAAATCAATGTTTAATATTAAATTTTATATAGGTAATTCAATAAAATGAAGAAAAAACGTAAAAATTCTCGAAAATCTGAATTTTGCTCTTCCACTGAAAAATTCAGAACTTCGGCATTTATCCATGGACTTATTAACATCAGCTTATTTTTTTCCTTTAAGTATAATTTATAAAATAAATCAAACTGGACTTATTTTTATTTCCATCTATTACAATCACAAACAAAATAACGGTTGTCTTGTCTAGTTTCAGTTTCTTACAAAAATGCATGACATGTAAAAGTTATAAATATTATTAAATAAAAAAGATTTTTTAACCAAACCCTATAATGTTGTAGCTTGTACTCGCTTTCTAACCAATTACTAAAGCAAAAGGGTTATTCCAACGTTTCGGGTGTTACATTTGTTCAACCAAAGTATAAATTTTTATGCATATATATCTACGTTTTTAGTTGTTCTATCTAAATTGTGAAATTAGTACAGGAAAAGTGTGCGTTTTGGGTGTTTCACGATTTTGCCTCTATGTCCTGACCATTGTTAGATTTATTTGAAATTCAGCGAATTTTCTTTGGGAAATTTTCCTAAAAACTACAGGCTTTCAAAAGTATAATTTTTACTAACCATCCACCACATAATCACTGTCACAAATAACGTTTTACTATTTTTATTATAAAATTTTACTTTGTTTCGGGTGTTACCATGGTTCTGTTTCGGGTATTACAAGTACAAAAATTAAACACTTTATCGGTATTCTATTAGTTCCTTAGAACTACAAAATAAGTAAGTAACAAATAAACATAAATAGAATGAAGTCTCCTTTAACATAACTTAAGCAGCTTCGGGTACGATTGATAAAACGGTAAAATCGTTATTAGAAACATAATTATTGACGAAAATCATAGCATCGTAAAAACAGTCTTTAAAAGAGGTGTGACTGCTTTTCCGATGGCGTATACAGAAGAAAAATCGAACAAAATTGATTTATTTTTCATTACAGCGCCATCCATTGGAAATTTTAAAGTTACCCCCTGTTCCCCTTACAAGGAGGAGAGTATGAGGACCAATTTTAGTACAAATCAGAAGTTTTGTAGGTAATTGGAAAAATGTTTCTGTAGAGTCTTTCTTTCTTGGTTGGATTATTGTACCTACTTATCTGTACGGCTTTTTTAAATTTTTACAATAACATGAAAAATCACAGGCTCATTTCAGTAATTCTGACTCTATACCAACATCCATTGGTGAATTTTAATTGTTGAAAAGTTTGTCACAAAATGTTTGCTATTTTGTTTCGGAAAGTAGAAGTTTGCTAACAAAAGTCAATTAAAAAGTTTTATTTATAAATTAAAACGAGCTCTATAAAGTGGCCACTGTTACTGCAATAAGTATTTCCATTGAGAGAACCCGCAAATGTTGCATATTTTACTACCCAATTATTGTTTAGTTGCACAAAGCGTTTTATAAATTCAGCTTGCATATATATTGACCATGAAAAAACCTCGTTTTAAAGTCGCACTTGTAATAAAAATAAGTCGCTTGTGGCGTCAAAAAATATTAATTAGGTATAGTAAACACTTATCCTGGAACACATGCCAGAAGCAAAAAACGATTATATTTTGTTTTAAACAGGGGTTTTAAAGGGAATAACTATACGAGGTTTGTTCAGAAAATAACGGGAATTGTTACATTTGGCGGATTCGGAGGGTCCGGTAGTCATACAATTTTTTTTATTATGTTCGTATATATTCCCCCGAAGTATGATAAAAACTTTAGCTGTTTTCATTGTTTACTTTGTCTGTGGCAGCCGCTAAGGTTAGACGTGTTTTATGAGCTCGGCGATTTTTCGTTCGTTCGTTTCGTTCGAAATGGATGAAAGAATTTGTATCCAATTTTGCTTAAAAAATGAAATAAATTCTGTGAAATGTTAACAAAGGCCTATAGTGAGTCTGCTATAAGTAAAACAAGAGTGTACAAGTGGTATAAGAGTTTCCAAGATGGTCGTGAAGACGTTGAAGATGACTAACGCCCCGAACGCACAAGCGCATTAACAACCGATAAAAACATGAAAAAAGTGGAATAAATGGTTATAAACCATCAGAGAAGTCGCTGATGATGTTGGTATATCGATTGGCTCATCCCATGAAATTTGTTCAAATTTTTTGGGTATGAAACGCGTGGCAGCAAAATTTGTTCTAAAATTGTTAAATTTTGAACATTGTTGGCCAAAAACAATACTGTAATGATGCCCCAGCCTCCATATTCGCCAGACATGCCTCTGTCTGACTTTTCCTATTCCCAAAAATAAAGAGAACCTTAAAGGGCCGTCGTTTTGCAAGCATAGATGACATTAAAAGCGCATCGCTGAAAGAACTAAAGGCTATCCCAAAGATCGAGTTTTAGAAGTGTTTCGAGTATTGGAAGAAGAGCTGGCACATGTGCATAATATCCAATGGGGACTATTTTGAAGACATTAATGTAGACGAATAAATAAATATTTGTTTCAAAAAACAAAAATTCCCGATATTTTCTGAACACACCTCGTATGTATGTTGTATTTGTTTTTTAGTTTAATTAGGAACCCATAGCTATATTACAATTGCAATGATATTTAATTAAAAATATATATATTTGAACTTTTATGTTTGCACGTCGAAAAAAAAAATGATGGTCATTATTGGACTAAAATTACCCCAGAAAATCGTGTCACGTAAAACCGTGAATAAAATATTGAAAGGCTGTCTGTTATCGAAATTAAAATTTTAAATTTTTTCAATCTAATTATGAAACTCGATAAAAAAGTCGTATATTTTAGAAACTCGTCACTTTTCACGAAACATCATTAAGTTTTAAATTTACTTACTTTTCAAAAACCCGTCACTTTTTATCTTGTCTAGGCATTTTATTAATTTATATTTTTTGCTGAGGTTTTGGCTGTCAGATTAAGAGTCTGAAAAAGAAGTAGGTATATAATATAAACATGTAATGTTTTTTTTATTAGAAAATAAAATATTTCTACTATGTACAGTTACGGAAAATAGTAACGTCCAATGTCCATTTGAATGCCTATACAAAGAAATGCACTTTTAATACGTTTATCAACATTTTAGTTTTCATTATTTGTTTTATGAAATAACTGCCCAATACCATCTTATTTCAATGTATAAAAATCCAATAAAATATGAAAACGGCATAAATTTATAATTATTATAATAATTGAAGCTTGTATTTTTTCAAAATCTACTATTTTTTAGCTTTGGAATGCAATTTTAAACAAGTAGATAATATCTATTAGATAATATAGTAGATAATATCTACTAGATATCTCTACCATTAAAAACGTTTAAAATAAAACGTTTTAAATTCTTTATTTTGCGGACCAGGCACGCGAAAATTAAATCACAACGGATTTCCATCTTTATGATCCCAATGAACTTTCCCACAAAGTTTAAGCAAAATCTAAAACCGATTCAATGATTTAATATAATCTTTATTATTATTTAAATCCAGGATTTTATCTTTTAGACGTGTGCATTAGGGTGTCGCTTATTTTTATTTTTTTTTACGCATACCCTCTAATTATATTTATTCCTTGTTTATATACTCCCAGTAAAAATTTCAGCTCATTCTATAAACGGGATCCCGTGCCGACTTGCATCTAAACCCCCGTTAGCCAACGTTAGGCGCGCGCGGTATTTTGTAACACGAAACACTTTAAAAAGAAGATATACCTACTTCATGACTGTATTTTTCTAATGATTTTATTAAATATGATTACTAATTAATATTATTGCTTTTGTTTTTATCATTTGTTTCACTAATTTAGTTGATTTTATCATAAGCATTTCTTTTCTTGGTGTCCACCCAAAAATATTTCAGACAGTTCAATAAGTTTTCGGTAGTCATCTCTCACAATAGACTCTTTTAGTTATTTAGAGTAAACCCCATTAAGTTTATCAATTTCAGAGTTTACGGCCTATTCACCAGACCCTTCCGGGTAACTATAGCCACTCCCTGTGAAAATATACATTTTTATCAAAGTATACACATAAATAAAACTATATTTTAACAATTGTCAATAATTTATAATATAAGGGTCACATAATAACAAACACAAAATGACTTAAGATCGAAGACCTCGCGACCAACCGTGTTAAAAAATACCGCGCGCCTAACGTTGGCTAACGGAGGGTTCAGATGCAAGTCGGCACGGGTTCCCGTTTATAGAATGAGCTGAAATTTTTACTGAGAGTATATAAACACGTAATAAATATAATTAGAGGGTATGCGTAAAAAAAATAAAAATAAGGGACACCCTAGTGTGCATATTATCAATAGACTAAAAAATAAATAAAAACGTATAACATTTTTCTTTTCGTTATAGGTCGAAGCCACGACAAATCCTTCACCCTGTTCAGACTGGGGAAGAAATCCTCGGAAGGGGTGAAAGCTTTTTCGGAAACCGGCCGATCTGACGTTTTGGAGGAGCAGAGTCAAGGGGAGGGAGGCATCTACGATGAGTTCAACGCCCCTCCAATCACGTCAGGGGTTGGCAGAACCGAAGCAGAATTTTTCGTCGACGGAAACCATTCAAGGGTAAGCAACTTGCAGGAAACTTGATGAATATATGGGTGAATAATATTCACTGAATATATTGAGATGTCCCCCAAGTGAAAATGAATATTTTTTATTTTTGGTTGTTTCACTGTTAGTCTACAATGAGGTTTTTGGGAAGCCACCAGGTCTAGTAATAACATAACATAAGTGGTTCTGCACTAATGCAAGCATTTTAAGAAATCATACATTTAGAATATTAGAGCTTCACGGAAGATAGATTCACGGAGGTTAGGATATCGTATGTTTTTTTAAACATCCCTTTGTAGGTATATTTGAAATAAGTAATTGTATCTTTTGACACCTTAATATTTTTTAAAAATACATAAAATATTCATAGAAAAATCTACTTACTGAGATATTACACTTCACGGCGGATAGGTTTTTAAATAGCAAATTAATGAACTTAAACTTTTGAATTATAAAACAGCAACACACTCATCTGCATATAAATTCTAACTGACCTTCAGGAATCACATGCAACTATAATGTCGTAAACAGAGGTTTTGGCTTATTTAAAAAGATTAAAGCGCCATCCGTTGCATAAAATTTAAATAAAAACACATTCACGGAGGATAGAATCAATTTTTGTAACACCTACATAAAGGGTTATAAAAATTATTTCTTTTAATTTTTTTATAATATTTTATATTTGGATGTGTTTAATTTACTTAGTAAACTGATACTTTTAGTATGCTTTTACACCTCAGATATTTAAAAACATATAGGTTAACCTAGAAAGAGTAACAGTCACGGAGGATAGGTTTTAGACTTTTAAAACATTGTAAAAAATAATTAATTGCGGTTAAAAATCTTAAACCTAAGCTGTAATATCTACTTAATTATAAAAGATCAAAACACAATAAAAGTGTAAGTCAAACTCATTTAGTTTTATTAAATATCACTGGGTAACACCATCTGGGGACATTTCGTGAGATTCACCCATATTTATTACTAGCGCCTTTTTTGATTTTCTAATAATATGTATTTACATACCCTCGTATAGAAATACCTATAGAAAATTGATAAAATCAAAAATAAAATTGTAGTCAAATACCCTTATGCTGCAATGTGTAATTAGTGAAATTAAGATATAAAAAAATTGCCGAAATTAATAGATCACTAAAAAAAATTAAATGGCGCAGACTTAATAGCTACGATTATTGGAGCAAAACCATGTCAATTACATACTCTTATTGAAAGGCTATTGTTCAAAATCATTGAAAGCCAAATTGGCAATTATCCATTATTATGTACATAAGTATCAGCTTTATTTTAAAGAAGCACTTTACAATGTACATGCATGAAGTCGCTATACAGTGACTGTCAAAAGTATGAAACAAATTCATTGAAAAATTCGGTTTTTTTTCTAAAAAAAAATCATTGAACAGTTCGATTTTGTTTGTTCAATTACGCACATTTTGATATAGGATTTTTTTTTAATTGTACCCCCTCTTTTTTTTGAAGATTCGAATAGATTATAAAATTGTGATTTTGGCATTATGCACATTTATACTTTTCGGAGATTAATTAATTATTAAATGCGTAAAATTTATAGTTTTTAATATTGTTTTAATGTTTTATAGTCTTTATTAAAAGACTTTTTATGGGGTTTTAATCAAATTAAAAAGTGTTTATAAACTAAAAATTGAACGAAAATTCAGAGATACTGGACATAACTCGATACATTTGCTAAGGCCCCTTTGAAAATTTTCAATTATTGCTTCTTAAAACATTTTTTTCAAGAGTGATCCCAATAGTATTTAAATCAGGCGAGTTTGCCCCAAATAAACAGAAAACAACTCAGAGACTCTAAGCGTTTTTGGGCTAAATGCAACGGACCCAGTGCGAAGTATAACAAGTTTCAGGCCTTCAAATCAGTCCAAACAACTATCTGTAGATGGGCGGTAGCCTATTGTAGAACAACCATATTAGTTTTACCATATTTGCACATATATCATCCCAGACCTTCACAGAATACTTAATACCGCTACAAATTTGTTTTAATAAACCAATAAATGTATTATACATGTATAAGTAATTAGAACTATTAGATTATTTAATTGTTACAGGTATCTCTTATATCCCGCATTGTCCCATCACCTGATTGGTTCATAGGAATCGATAGTTTTGACCTTTGCGTCAACGGTAACTGGATAGACAGCATCACAATAGAGGTAAACTATTTCAATTTTTAATGTTACACTGAGTATTCCCTTTATATGTGTTTAAATAATATTGATGTAATAGGATTTTGTATTATCCAATATAAAGCCTGATATATTTCCCTTACAATTCAATAAGAATAATAGAATAAAACGATGCAAGGTAAAATATAAACAGGCTAAAATAACGACAATCCTAAATCCTCAATTTGAACAAAGCTCTTTAAAATAAAATGGAAAAATACTTTGTTTTGGAAGATGCTACTCTCTAAAAATGAATTAGTTAAAAATGACTAATATATGGTCATAGCGAAAAAGCATACACATATAATTCTCGTCAATAGCAATTTTTATCCCGATCATTTCCATTTCCAGGCAATTTCCATGTACAATTGTCCCCTGAATGTCGTCAAAAGTTAGATGACCTGAATCCAAAAATGTCGTCAAAAGTTAGAAAAGTAGAACAGTTTTTGAGATATAGTTACTTTATCTCAAAAACTGCTCTACTTTTAAAATTTTACGGTATTTTCGGATTCAGGGGACAATTTTAAATAAGAATTTGCTGTTTAATGTTGGGGATACCATGGTCCATGGTATTCCATGGTTAACCATTAGGGTGTCATTTTTAAGCAACTTTTTTTTCAACTAAAAAACAGGCTAAAAACTTTCAGGAAGGTGAAAAAAGAATCCTCTAAAAATTTGAGCTCTTAATATTAACATTAAGTGGTGCCTGTTTCTATATTTCCATTTTCAATTTAAATAACATGCATGGAAACATTTTTTTTCTTTTTTCTTATTTTTGTAGCTTGACATTTGGGCATTGTAAAAACGAACTGAAAAATTATTTTGGTAGGAAATTGAACGCTCTACAAAAAAGTTTCAATATATTTGTTCATAGAGTGAGCCGTTCTGAAGGTATTCAAACTTAACATTTCGAATCGCGGCACGTTAGCGTGCCTCTAGTCCCTGTGTTATCCGAACGGTAATATTCCGACTGAGCAGATATAATCTTTTATCAGAATTATCTACTTTAAAATTATAAAAAATAAAGAAAGATTAAAAATTCAATACAATAACAAATTCATTGTTTTATTTAATCTATTATAATTATTGAACAAATTTATTGAACACAAATAACTTTTTTTTATAGTAAATAAAATAAAATGAAAAAAAAATTGAGATGTAAGTGTTATTTTCTTTCTATACGAATATAATTATTTTTTCTTAAAATAATTTTTAAGACATAAAAAAAGTATTAGTTTAATAAAATAAGTCATAATTTCATACATTTGCAAGTTTGAATACCTTCAGAACGGCTTACTCTATTAAAAAATAAATTAGTACTTTTTTGTAGAGCGTTAAATTTCCTACAAAAATAATTTTCAGTTCGTTTTTACAATGCTTAAATGTCAAGATACAAAAATAAGAAAAAAAATTTTTTTTCCATGGTATTTAAATGGAAAATGGAAAGTTAGGAACAGGCACCACTTAATGTTATTATTAAGAGCTCAAATTTTTAGAGGCTTCTTTTTTCAACTTCCTGAAAGTTTTTAGCCTGTTTTTTAGTTGAAAAAAAAAGTTGCTTAAAAATGACACACCCTATTAACCATGGTATAATAATAACTGAACACAGTGGTCCTCGACTAGCCATGGGTTGTATGAAAATGGCGCCAAAAAATGAGTTCGGATTTTGATGGGAATATCTATAAGCATTGCAAAAATTCATCAAGTAAAACCGTAGCTGATCATTAACTTATTTTATGAATGTAACAATTTCGCATTTTTACATAGCCTTTAGATTCCTACAATTTTAAAAAAGTACTTTTTATTTTTATTTTTATTTTTACAGCGAAAAAAGGTTATTGACCAAAATAAATTCACATTTACTCAATATTTGTTACAAATGTCTAGAGGAGAACCATAGATGACCGAAGGAGAACTCAACAACAGCTTTCTTTAACTGGATCTTGTAAGAGATTTATTTTATATCGGTTCCAGTACTTGACAAACTCTCTATAAAAAGATTTTCCTGCTTGCTCTGACCATAAACCAAGTCCACCTTCTTGAAGAAACTGCAAAGATTGAGTAATATGTTTCAAAATGACGTGCAATTTAAGAGACTTAAATTAGTCAAAAATGACTTATTTAATAGTTATTGTTTTTTTCACTTGTACCATGGTTAACCATGGTTTCCCAAAATTTCCCCCTAGTCTTATGTCCCCTGAATCCGAAAATGTCTTCAAAAGTTAAAAAAGTAGAACAGTTTTTGAGATATAGTCAATTTTCCATTTAATATAGAATTGACTACATCTCAAAAACTGCTACACTTTCATAATAATGGTATCAAAATGATGGTATCCCAAAATTCCCCCCAAGTCTTATGTAAAATTGTCCCCTGAATCCGAAAATGTCTTCAAAAGTTAAAAAAGTAGAACAGTTTTTGAGATATAGTCAATTTTCCATTTAATATAGAATTGACTACATCTCAAAAACTGCTATACTTTCATAATTTTTGACGGTATTTTCGGATTTAGGGGACAATTTTACATAATAATTGGCCTTTAAATTTTGGGATATCATGGCGACAAGTATTGCAGATGGAAATTGAAATCGGGAACTTAGGATTCTGTAATTAAAAATTTCGACGATTTTGTATTATAATATGGGTATACCCATAATAATTTTCTGCCCACATGCTGTTATGCTCATGGTTGCTTACAATTTCAATAGGGTTCATTTTATCATAAAAGTAACAATAAAACCGACAAAAATTATTAGATTTGTGTTTTAAGGCAAACAGTAACTGACAACCCTAGACCAAACCTAGGCTAACAACTGACAAGTTAATCAAATATTTCAGTGCCAACTTATCAATGAACCTATATGTAAACTTTCAACGAAACCTCCAATTATGTGCCAATTCTTTAAATTTATTTAAAACTATGGTCAAATGTAAACATAAATAAAAGTATCACAAAAACATATTTTTATGATCAGCTATGATTTGACTTGCAGCGTTTTTGTAACCTTGATATACATGCCTACTAATATCTGAACCTATTTTTTGGCGCCATTTTCATAAAACCCACGGCTAGTCTTGGACCACTGTGTGTAGTAACTAGTCATTTTTGACTAATTAATTTTTAGAGGGTAGATATTTTTTAAAAAGTGTAGGGGAGAGTCCTGTACCTTGATCCACTTTTTTGAAAAACTTGATTATTTCTTGAAGGTGGACCCTATCGATGCGGGGACAGACAACGGCTTCACATTCACAGCTCCGAACTGGCCCACTGACCCTCAAGGCGAAGCCTATCGCATCACAGCCCATTACCCAGCCCACCCGGCCGGCTCGTTCTTCTACCCGTATTTGAAAAGATTACCTCCCATCGGTACATTTCAGTTCATCAAGGTGAAGGAGTACGAGCTGAGCGAGGTGTTTCATCATCAAGAAGACGATAGAAGATACGACGTGTTGAAAATGGAACATTTGACGCAAAACACCATTAACGTTTTTAATGGGAATAACGATATCGAAACCGCTATTGAGGAGGAGAGGGAAGAGCAAGAGTCGCATCAAAAAATTCCCAGACCGAAACCAAGGCTCTTCAGATTATCATCTACAGCGAATTATTTCACCACTCCATATACAACAACCAGAGATCCGTATAACGACGACAGGCTTACCAACTCAATGTAGGTTTTAACTGTTTTTCCGTAAGACAAGTGTGTGCAGGTGTCTTTTTTCTTCCTTTCAGAAATCAGAGAGAGGAAGTAGTGATCGTGACGTCACCCGCAGCGCCAGCGGTGGTTCCCAGAGGAGACAAGGACGCGATTTTGAACAGCATTGCTGATTCGTATATGAGCCACTCGAAAGATCACCATCATAAGAAATACAGGAAACCCAAAAAGAATATGTCCAGAAAATACAGTAAGTAACCCAGAGAGCCATATCAGGTCAAAACTTGGGCAATAATTGTCCTTGTACGTTTGGAAAAGTTTTGCCAAAAATGTACAATATTCCTATGATTTTTGTACAATCGCGATTACCAACAATAAATTACCAAATTGTGCCCAATAATATGCAAAAGCAGTTTGGTTTAAGTTAGGTAGGTTACCGTTGGTTTAATGTTTGGGCATGGAAAAACGATGAGAAATATTGTTTATTTGGGCAAATTATTAGGCTTTATAAAAATTGACCAAAGACATGATATTGGTAAATATTTAGACAAATCCAGAGTATTTACAAATATTATAATTATATTTGAAATAATATTACTAAAAGAGGTTTGTTTCGTTTACATTAAAATCTATTAATTTATATACAGTGTGGCCCATTTAAGATGGAAACACCCCCGTAACTTTTTTATTTGTTACTCGATTTTAATGAACAAAGGCTCAAAAGATAGAGAATAATAAGCTATACAAAAATATTTTCAATGTCACTTGACAGATGCCTACTATAACATTTTTTCTATGTAAAAACTCGGAAAAAATTATTAGGGTATTTTTGCAAAAAATTTTTAACTATCATTTTTAATAAAAATAATTTCCCAAGTATAATTTATTTGGGTGGCATTTTGTTAACTTAAATAAATATTTTATAAAATTATTGAGATTATTTTGGTAAAGTTAAATTTTTTAGTATTTAAAAATAGTATCAAGCCATTTAAAATAAAAACACATATAAATTTTTTTTTACCAAAATGGTATAAAAAGTTAAATTTTTGTAAACTCAAAACTATTGATAATCAAAAAATATTTTAAATATAAAATGCAACTGTAAAAGTTTAAGTTTAAAAATATTAATTTTTAAAAAATGGAATTTTATTATTTTATTCTTCAAAATTATTGGTTTGAATTTGTAAAGAGTCATTTATATGATAGTTAAATTTTCAATACAAAAATTTGAACATTACATTTAAATGTTAGTTTTAAATTTTAAAGTGGTAGGTAATTTTTTTAAACTCAAAACAATTGATAGTCAAAAAACATTTTAAACATAAAATGCAACAGTAAAAATGTGTGTTTAAAAATATTGATTTTTAAAAGTTTTGGTTGTAATATTTTATTCTAAAAAATTATTGGTTTAAATTTTTAAAGAGTCATTTAAATGATAGTATATAAATATAAAATTTTTAATACAAAAATTCTCACATTACATTAAATGTAAGTTTTAAATTTTAAAGTAGTAATTTTTGGATTAAAAATGTATCGACTATCATTTAAATGACTCTTTACAAATTTAAACCAATAACATTTATTTTTAACAATTTTAAATTTATACATTTTTAAGACAAAATTTATAACTTTACATTTAAATGTAAGTCGATAATTTTTAAATTACAAAGTGTAAACGTAGCTTTAGTAGAAGGCACGAGAGTCTGGGATCGGAGCCACGATGCAGCCAATTTGATTTGCAGTGTTGTCAAATCGTGCTAGCTCCATAAATATTTGACGCGTTTTACAAATTATCGTAATGAAATGTTTCTTTATTACAAATATTTAATAATAGAACAACAAATTTTTTAGTGCCTATTGTACCAAGTTAAAAAACATCAACGGATCAAACTGGCTGCATCGTGGCTCCGATCCCAGACTCTTGTGCCTTCTACTAAAAATACGTTTACAAATTTTGGTTTAAATTTGTAAAGAGTCATTTAAATGATAGTCGATACATTTTTAATCCAAAAATTACTACTTTAAAATTTAAAACTTACATTTAATGTAATGTGAGAATTTTTGTATTAAAAATTTTATATTTATATACTATCATTTAAATGACTCTTTAAAAATTTAAACCAATAATTTTTTAGAATAAAATATTACAACCAAAACTTTTAAAAATCAATATTTTTAAACATACATTTTTACTGTTGCATTTTATGTTTAAAATATTTTTTGACTATCAATTGTTTTGAGTTTAAAAAAATTTAACTGCTAAACTTTAATCTTTAAACTTTAATCTAATAAATGGTAAAACGGCGTGCCATAGATATCAGTCTTATAAACTTTTTTAGGTCATAAACAAAAAATTTAGGGGGCGCTACAAAAAAAGACCAAGTTGGTAAATAACGGACACCCTAATAAGTACACAGTAAAAAATTTTGCCCGTGTAAATTTTTTAGTGTAGGGGTAAAAATATTAGAGTTGATTTGTAAGTGTAAAAGTTACACTACAAAATACACTAGGTAGCATTTAGTGCTTATTAACTTTATTTAACACATTTAAAGAATATGAACATTATTCATTGGTACATTCACACTATTTATTATTAAAATAAATCAAAAGGGTGAAAAAACTTAATGCGAGTGTTAAATGTGTTAAATAGTGACAAAATTTACACTACAGTGCATGCCAATTTCTTTGTCTGTTTTGATGTTACTAAGAGCTCTTTTTTCTTTACACTACTAGTGCACATTGTATCACAATTAAAGTTAAATTACACCAATAGTACAAAAATAAATGAATGAAAACACTGGTAATAACCGAAATGCGTTTCAAAATGTTTGGTTGGTACCTATCTACCTACGCAGTGCATAATATGCACTGCATATCCGGAGATACCGCGTTGTGGAAGTGTGTCATTTTTGTTCAGTTAGATTTTAATTATGGTGAATCCATAAGGGGACATTCTTATTTTTTGGTCTTTTTTCATTAAGCCTTAATACTCAATAAATACCAATATGTTAAAAGGATGTCCATCCCTTACGGAAAAACACTGTTCAACAGTATTAAACACTATTAAACACTGTACAACACTACTGACGATTTTAATAATGTGCCAACAGTGTTAACGACTTGTACCATAGTGTTGCACTAGTGTTGTTGTAATGTTGCACAGTGATAAAGAGTGTTGCATAGTGTTCATGGTGTTCCAACAGTGTTAACGACTTGCCCATAGTGTTAAAGTGATTAATGTTGCTGTAATAAGCAGTTTTGTGTAGTGTTCATATAAATATAAGTGTTTATCTGATAAATTTAAGTTTCAACTGAAAATTAGAATTTCCAATTAATTTTAATTAAATAACTAAATTAAAAAATATTTTTGAACCTTATCAATTAAAAAAAATGCTAAAAAAGCACCAAAAAATGCAGAATTCTACTGTTTAAACTTTTTTTTTAATTAATATTAAAAAAAAATTAATTTAATAATTAGATAAAAATTTATTGTAAATTTTAATTTACAATTGGAACTTAAATATTTAAAATATTTACCAGATAAAACATAATTGTGCGAACTTTTCGTAATTAATTTTCAATGTAAACTTAAATTAAATTATAATTTTCAAATTATAATAAAACACTGTCGACTGAAATATTTCATTCCGCAGTGATAAATAGCTTTATCTCCACGCGGTCTATAATTTAAACTTTATTATTGTCAACATTCGATAAAGAAATAACTTGTTATGGCCTAGGCCGATAAAAATTTTTATGAGGCAAGTAATTAGTTCGATTTTTTCTCGCTAGGGGTATTGTTTTGAAAAATTAATCCTTTTCTAAGAAATTAACGTACTAAACTGGTTTAATTTATTTATAATAAGCACTAATTTGTTTGTTTTACTGTTAATGTTTATTATTTTTCATTAAATTATTGTAAAATTAAATATGAATAATAAAACAAAAAGTGAGGTTAGGACATTGCAATTTGACGTTTCTGTGTATTTCACAGTTGTGTTTTCTTTTTCTACGATTTAAATTATCTTTAAGTTTTAATTTGCTTTAAGTTTTCAGTGAAATTAAATGTTAAACACAGCGTAAACATTCTAAACTACCTATTTTTTAATAAAAATGCAAACAAATTGAAATTAGATACCTATTTATTAAACAATTAATTGAATTCAATGTAATAGCAAGAGGGTAAGTAAACCATTTTCTTACAAAAATCCATTTCTACTTAAATTATGTAGCTAGGTATTGTCAAACTATTACTGCTTCTAAAAGGAATAATAATTATTATACATTTAATGTAATCTTTAGGTAATAAATAAATTCTAAAAAAGTTAGGTTAGGCCGCTTTCATGTTGAATTAAATTGACCTATATAAAGTGCTTTGAAGATAAAATGTTGTATGCCATTCAGCCAAGAAGTGTCTTTTTGTGCTTCGCTCAATTGTAGGCCTCCGCTACGCGTCGGCCTTCAAACTTTGAGCTTAGCACAAAAAGCCTTACTTCTTAACCTAATGACATAAATAACTATTAGACCTATCCCATGATATGGATTTTTTGGATAGGGGGTGCGTTAAAAAGGGCGACAGTCTCTTTCTTCATTAGAATTCTAATAAAAAAGACTGCTGCGTTTTTTCACGCACGCGCTATCCAAAAAATCCGATTTATGGGCTAGGTCTATTAACACTGCAACACTAATCACACTATACAACAATAGTCACACTAAACAACACTGGTCACACTAAACAACACTGGCCACACTAAACAACACTGGTCACACTATGTAACACTTTTAACGAAAACATTATTCAAAAGTAGTGTTGCATAATGTTGTGCAGTGTTAACAGTGTTTTTCCGTAAGGGATACCCGGCCTATATTATATATCAATAATTTATGGCAGTAGATCGGGTACTTGTTACATTAATAATATAAATACATACACAGTTTTTATTTTCAAGCGTAATGGTTGTTATATTAACCTATACCTAAATTTTTATTAATATTATAGAAAATTTGTATACGCCTTTCTATCAATGGGATCACCCATTTTTTATAACAGAAAAATGGATCACTGATGAATTCTCAAGATAATTCATTGCTTACAAGTTGACAGCCAGTAAAACATTGCATTGATCTAAAACTTTTACGTTTTAAGGAACCATTTTGCTTAAGCCAGCCATACAACTCAAATATAAAATTATATTTTAAAAGGCACCGATTTTGATAATTGTCATAGATTTTTGTTCCAAATAAATGTTTCTCTTTATTTACCTTTTCGTTTTATTCACTACCACCAATAGGTTTTACTTAAATAATAGTGTTAATTTACACTAAAAGTTTGCACTAAAAGAGTAAAAGTACCTTTCTAAAATTAGAACCTTTCCAAAGTAGTGTTAATTTACACTGAACAAAAGTGGGATTTTACCCAGGAAGTGTAGAAGTACACGATGTTAGGTAAATTAACAATTTTTAATTCAGTGTAAAATTATAGTTGCTTACTTGGGGAAAATTACACTACAAATTAACACTAATTGTAGTGTTATAAAACAACACTATTTAGTGTGGACCTGTGTGAACTCTAATAAGTGTTGCTTGATTTTTTTTTACTGTGTGGGCTCTAATTTTTCTTACTTTTTTTGCAGGACCTCCTCGCGACTGCCGCGTGAGCGACTGGTCCGTGTGGAGTGACTGCAGCAAGGCGTGCGGCATCGGCGAGATGCAGCGCCGCCGCGAGATCCTGAAACACGCGAGACGGGGCGGACAGCAATGCCCGCCACTCGTCGAAACGAAATGGTGCGGGTCCGCGCGTTGCAACAAGCAAAACACCGGCTACTTCAACTGGTCCAACTAACCAAGTTACCCATCCAACCGAAAAAAACAAATGTGAGATCGGACGAACGTTTTGGTCTGCGTTGACCTTGAAGTTCGCCCGATTTCATCAAGAGTTACCCCTATGGCATACAAATGAAAGACTTGATAAGCAGTAAGTAGATTGGGATATATTGTTTGTTAAAAAATGGCCCTAAGTTTACTTTTTATTATTTGGACATAAAAAACTTGATGGTTCAAGTAAAAAAACAAAAAACTACCTAACCTATAATGATGTACCCTACCCCGACTATATAAATTATATATGTATTAAATGGATGTAAGATATCTCAATGTAATGTTTAATGTGAAATTTTTAACAAACAATATTATTAACGTGCCATTGTTGTAATCATTGTAAAAAACGACTCTTCTTATACAGGTTACTGTACATTTTTTGACGTTTGACTATTTGTTATGGAGAAAGGCTATTACCTATTCCATATTTGGTGAATTTTTTCTATAAATGGGCGAATTTTCGTTAAATGTGCATTTTGTATATATATTTTGTCCAGGCTGGTCAATATGATCGATTATTTTCCTTTGTAATAGAACAGTGTAATATACTGCAAAAAAATTCTATAAGTTTATAAATAAAAAAAATAAACTTTAAAGAAATAAAACTTTTAGGGTTAATCTGAAATAGGGAAGGAACACAAGGAAGAAATGAAACATTGTCCTCCTCCTAACGCATCTTCCTGAACGTTTTATGACATATTGCTTTTGACTTTTTCAAACGTTATTTTTTAGAAATACTGTTAAATGTAAATATCTTTCGGCATTTGTTTGGAATTTCTTCTATGCTATAATACAAAATGAAAATAAAAAAGGTAACTTCTAAAATAAGAGTTCTATGTAGCGTTTTGTAAAAGACACCAAAAGTGTACGCAAAAAAATCTTACCTTTAAAATATTTACAAAAAAATTCACACACTTTACACGTGCTCACTTGTTGTTGCCGAACTATCAAACTGGATGCCCTCTAGAAATAAAACGCTATTATCTCTATCTCGTGTCTCTATTTCGAAGCAGTCGGCATAGAAGATGACGTTAGGAAAAAGACAAGATTTTTGAATGTCAACTTTAATATTTTTTTCTGTTTAAACTACTTTGTAGAAAACTATTTTAGTTTTATATACGAATAAAAGAACTTTCCATTGTTCAAAAATAATTTATTTTTTCAGAAGGAACCTGCAAAGAAAAAGAATATAATAATTTAAATTAAAAAATCGCCTCTGGGGACAGTTAGGTTACAGGACATTTCACCTAGTTTTTTTGCCATATATAGAAACACAAAGTAATTAAAAAAAATACGATGGGTCCTAACAGGAAGGGGGTATTTAAATATAATAAATACAAAATTTATCAACAAAGGTCAAAAATAAAAATAAAATTAGCTGGGGACAGCAAATGTACATTTAACGAAAATTTGCCCAAATATTAAAATATCAACGTCATGATACATAAAACGTCAAAAAACATACAGGGGCTTCCCCTAACCCAATAATGCTCTCTTGTGATTCTTTAATCGTACTGAAGGCGGCTAAACTTGAAGATATAGTATATAAACCAAAAAAACTAATTAAAAAAATGCACATCACTTTTATAAATATTTTTAATGATAATAATTATTTTTAAGACGAGACAATCGATCTAAGGAAGAAATTTAGTGTGAATGTTGGTTTAATAAGAACTTTTTAACATTTTTAAAATTCCCACTTTATTTTATAAGTTTTTGTAGCACCTAGTGTGCTGTGGAGAATGCCGTGCTCTAATAGGTTTATTGCTTTCTAGAGAGATTATTTTCTGTAGAAAGTAACATCATTATTTTTAAGTTTACCTATATGTATGAAACGCTTTAAAAATTAAATTTTGTTCTTATTATTCCAACATAACATATAGCTCTCTATTCATTAGAGAGCCTGATGAATTACGAAAACGTCCTTAAATTTCACAATGAATAACTGAACGAATTGTTTTTCAAAATTACCCCTAGTCTTAATTTTTTGTTTATAATTAGGTATTTCAAAAAAAAGGATGGAAATTTTTAGTAATATTTCTTAAAAATATCTTTAAATGTTTTTTTTTATTTTTCAAAAAAACTACTTTTTATAACAATAACTTCAGCACATCCTGTCAAGTAGGCATTACATACATTTAATTGAAGAAAAAACGGTAGCACATGGTTGTAACAAACAAAATGTCAAAATTAAAGGTTAAAATCCAGAACAGCTTTTTTATCATACGGGGGTTGCTAACAGTGTCGGAATCGGAAACAGATATAAAAAGTGAATTTTAGCGGTAAACACTGTCTATTCTTATTTTCACGCTCGTTCTATTCTTATTTGCCAAGGTCGACCTCTTGATTTGTGACCTATGTTGTCAGATTTCACGTAGCAGCACTAGTTGAAATATAAATAGCAACCCTTGTTACCGTTTTCTTACAAAACCTAACCTTTTGTCATGAGGTTTGTTCCAAAAGTGTACATAACTGTTTTTTCTTGCAAAAAGCGTATATATGTTTGTGTGTGATAATAAAACCATCTACTAATTTTAAATAAACTATTTGCTGAATTAATTTAGATTTTTGTATATATATATATATTATAGGTACAAATGTAGTTGTTAAAATAATGTCAATGAAAAATTTCTATGAAAAAATGTTTGTATCAAAAAAACCTATTACTTCGTCAATATTATTCGAAAGCTCATTTAAACCCATAAAATGACTTTAACATACATCTATATTAGAAGTAGATTAATTTTTTTTTATTGTATAAGTTGTATAATTGTACTAATATTAATTTTTAGTTTGTCATGCTCATGTATTCAATAAAAAAACAATAAACGTTATATTTAGATAAAATTTGTGGTATTTATTTATACAGAAAGTATCCCAAATATGATAAAAAAAGGTAAGTTTTGAACAAATTCATTATAAAAAATATATTTTTTCCACTCTCACTTTTAAAACGTGCATGTTTCCATTACCTTCTTAATACACATTGAAGTAAGCAACATGTTTTTAGTCACGGGCTGAAGTTAGCTTTAAGTTACTTGACAGTTGACAAATGTCAAACAATCGTTAAAATAAAGTGCCTTTCTTGTAAAATAATACTAAATGTGAAAATTATTTTATTATCTCAATACAAAAATACAAAAGTATTAAATAGTTTCTCAACGCCAATATTTAAAAAGTTTATATGAATATTGAACTGACCTTTTAATTTCGCCGGCAGTAAACTATAACTTAAATTCGGGCACGGACTCCACTGTAAAGTGCTCATAAAACATTTTATTTACTTTCACTGAGAAAAACTGTAAATTTTCAAGAAATACATTTCGATTTATAACCTTTATAATCTGTGTTTATAAAATGTAAAAATTTGACATTTGATGGTGACACACAGATTCCCCTATTGTTTCATAGATGGCGCTGTATACAAATTTTTGATTTAAATCATTTTAAAATAATCTCCCGGTTTTACCCCACATAAATTATTATAATAATCTGCTAATATTAGATTTTATCAAGCCGATTAATTTACAAAAAGAAAAAGAAAAAACATAACACTGCGTAGCTTTTTGTAGGTCTTTTTGCAAGCCTAGCCGTACAAAGACCTTTTTTCTCGACTTTATATATATATATATTATGGAGACAGTAAAACCCGTATTGGAATCTCGTTTTTAAAACGAACATTTTTCATTTCACGTGCATAGTTGAAAAGTTTTCGGTGTTCAGGTCCAGGAGAATCGATATTTATTGGCTAGTTGACATTGTTACCTTTTACAATAGAAGTCCCTTATGAGAAAAGTTTTTGGTGGATTTGCACAGAAATAACTTAAATTATACTAAGGGATAAAACAAATAAAACAACCGAGTTTATGCCACAGATTTGACAATATTAGTTAGTGTAAATAGTATATTAAAGAACTAATGTCATGACGTAATTTTGTCGCACGTAGACAATTTATAAAGCGAGCGAAGTAGCGAGTTTTGTAATGAACGAGTGCGACAAAAGGTCTTATGACATCAGTTCTTTATGCTATTTAATCTATTTTGCAAAAATTCTACAAAATTCTTGAAAATAAAAAGTAAATTAAATGTGTATGTATTTATATTATTAATGTTACAAGTACCCGACCTACTGCCGTAAATTATTGATATATAATATAGGTCGGGTATGGACATCCTTTTAACATATTGGTATTTATTGTGTATTAAGGCTTAAAGAAAAAGGAAGTATAATACTTACCAAAAAATAAGAATGTCCCCTTATGTATTCACCGTAATTAAAATCTAACTGAACAAAAATGCCACACTTCCACAACGCGGTATCTGCACTGCGTAGGTAGATAGGTACCAACCAAACATTTTAAAAGGCATTTTGGTTATTATCAGTTTTTTCAGTGTATTTTGCCACTTTTGTTGTAATTTAACTTTAATTGTGATACAATGTGCCTAGTAGTGTAAAGAAAAAAGAGCTCTTGGTAACATCAAAACAGACAAAGAAATTGGAATGCACTGTAGTGTACATTTTGTCACTATTTAACACATTAAGGGGTAAGAAACACTCGCATTAAGTTTTTCTACCCTTTTGATTTATTTTAATAATAATGTTAATAGTGTAAATGTACCAATGAATAATGTTCATATTCTTTAAATGTGTTAAAGCACTAAATGCTACCTAGTGTATTTTGTAGTGTAACTTTTACACTTACAAATCAACTCTAATATTTTTACCCCTACACTAAAAAATTTACACGGGCAAAATTTTTTACTGTGTATCATCTAAATAACACTGGATATGCTTGCTTGGACTTTTTAGATTGCATTAGAGTCAATTTCCGTTTAATGGTTTGATTAGTTTCAAAGATACACCACTATCCGAAATTAGGCGCCTACTTGAAATTAGGCGACTTTCCTCTATAGCCAACCTATAAAATCAAAATTTTGGGTGGGATAAAGTATCTCATGAAAGCA